GTAATTCATGCATTCATTACATCCAGGCTCGACTATTGCAACTCACTCCTTTTTGGTATCAGTCAGACCTCCATAGCTAGACTCCAACTGGTCCAAAATGCAGCAGCCCGGTTTTTGACCAGCACAAGCAAAAGGGAGCACATTACACCTGTTTTGGCATCCCTACACTGGCTTCCGGTTCACCTTCGAATCAAATTCAAAATACTCTTGTATGTCTATAAATCACTAAACAGCTCTGCCCCCTCCTATCTTACTGATCTGCTCCAGCCGTATGTCCCACCACGTTCTCTCAGATCAGCAGACCAGTTGTTCCTAACAGTCCCAGGAACCCGTCTCAAGCGCAGAGGTGACAGGGCCTTCTCTGTAGCAGGCCCAAGACTTTGGAATGAGTTACCTCTGCTCGTTAGACAGGCCCCCTCCCTCACAGTTTTTAAATCTCGCTTAAAAACACACTTCTATTCCCTGGCTTTCTGCACTGTGTGACCTTTGCTGAGTCTGTGTGTATCACACTGTGTTAGTCATGTTGCGGTTGTTGTTGTTATCCATTATTGTTTTTGTCGGTTTCTACTTTTTGGTGTCCTGTTATGTAATCTGTTGCTATGTGCTTGTTCTGTTTGTCCCTGTACAGCACTTTGGTGTGCTTTGTCACTGTTTAAAGTGCTTTATAAATAAATTGGTATGGTAAATTGGTATGGTATGACCATCAGTTGCGAGCCACACCCTTATTTCACCCCGGGACTCGTCCAACCTAGTAGTCGGGGTTGGAACATTGATCGCGGGGAAACTGGCATTTTTAGGCCACTCACCTCTTATTGTAGAACTGCAATTGTCACTGATCTGGTAGTTTTCAGAATCTAGGTACAAGATTCCAGGGTGTTGTTTGATCCAAGCTGCGAAACCTTTAAAAACCTCCCTTTTTTCTGATGAAATTGAACCAAGCTTTTCCAACTTTTTGAACCCGAAGTGTAGAAATGATAGTCCAGAATTTTACATTTTATGCTTTGCTTTATTAAAGGTTGATTGATTAATTAAGGATTTGCAGGGGTACAGCATTGTCAGCACATTATAATCGATTACATTTGATCATTTAAAAATTTTAATGACAGAGAGTTCATGCCTGCTTCCAGTGACAGTCTTATTGGTTATATGTGACGTTCAGGGTCCTAGGGTGTCCACTAGGCGTGGCTCCCCTGACTCCGATGAGCCGGGTTGGAGAGTCCTATCTCCTAACTTTTGAGTTGTTTTTACAGAGCAGCCTGTTCCTAATACAGTGGGCTGTTATGTAATTGGAGCCCCAAGGCAGGTTAAAACCCCTGAAACCCCTAAGTCTGTCTCATAAACTAACCAAGTTTAGCCAAACCTGTTACAAACCGCCTTGACAGCACACAGTTTATGTGGTGACTTTTCAAGGATGCTGGAAGCAGAACAACACTCTCTCGCCCTGACTCTACCTCTTAATTTAGAAACACTGTTATTTCATATAAAATTTAGTATTTGGACAATGGGTTAGGAGTCGCTCACCATTTCTGCCCTAAGACTTTGGAAAATGGCACAACAATCTCTCTTCCACAGCCCTGGAAGAAATCTCCCTTAATTCCCCAACAGCCTTCCTAATCCTGAGGAATCTGGTCTGGCGTCAGCCCGGCTGAACAAAAGGGTATTCCTATCTTGATGAATAGAAATCCTCTTATGAGCTGTTCCAAGTCCCTCTGAGTAGCTTCTGGGGATGCAGCCACATCGTCCTACTCCTTAGACTTCCACGGTCCGTTCAGCCCCGTCTTGTTACTGGGCTTGGTTTTTATTGACTTTGGGTTTGCTGGCCAAACCCAGTTTTTCCCCCTTACTAGTTTGTTCTAGTTTAGTGATTGGTTGTAGTTGTTGTAGGAGGGTCAGTTTTCTGGTAAACAATTAGACTGTGCCCTTTTAAGGCATCGAGTTGTGTTACTGCTCTGCTTCTCAGCTCACAAGTCACCGACACACGATCTTTCCTACAGCCCATGTCCTTTTATGGTAAAAAGAGCTGCTTTGCTCGGTGTCTACATGTAATGCTGTTTACAAGGTACCTACACACTGTTCTGCTGAGGTCAGCCTGTAGCATTCCAAAGGAAATGCAGCATTTCTCTGGCATGCTGTTAGGCCTCCCCAGATATATTAGCTCTCTCAACTCGCCTTTTCCCTCTCTCCCAGAACGCAGCATGAACTCGTATACATTTCATTCATTCTACTTCACCCTAATCACAGGATGCAATATGGGATACAATAATCACATCATGCATGAATACAATACAGTACATTCTGTTATAATTACTTGATGTAATATTTTACTCCACTTTAATAATAGTGTAGAGTGCAAATCTGTCACATCTGGGGGTCCATGGCAGGGCCGATTTCATCCAAACGACCTTACTTGACAGTTGTCTCCTTTAGATGTCGAGGAGCAGCAGTTGTACTCCGAGCCCCCTCGGGTGATGGAGCTCCTCAGTTAGTTGCTTTCAACAGATGAAGCTCTTTTTAGTCACTTGTATCCAGGATCTTGTTCTTTCAGACATGATCAGTACCTCATGCGCATAGCAGAGGGATAGAATGAAGGCGAACCAGTAAATTGAGAGCTTTGCATTTTGGCTCAGCTTTTTCATCACCATTACCAACTGGAGCAACTCTCTCATTACTGCAGACGAGGCCCCGATCCATCTCCTGCTCCATCTGGTCATCACTCAGTAGCAAGACTCCAAGATACTTGAACTTCTCCACCTGAGACTCATCCCTGGCCTGGAAGGACCATTACCCCCCTTTTCTCTACAAAGTCTTCCCCTTAACATGGAGCAGGGTTTTGAGCACCCCCCGATGTTGGGGGCATTAGTCGGGTAGGGTCTCCCATGGCAAACTGAGGGGGTGGGGAGGGGTCAGAATAAGAGTGATTTGAAGACCGTGGTGGACAAAAATAATTTTCATCAGGATATGTCTCCCAGGGGAACACCCCTGGAGCGGGGCTTGGGGGTGGAGCTCCCCATCTAGTGTCAGGTGGTTGAGTGAGCCTTGGCTCCAGGCCAAAACCAGAAGAGAAACAGGAGGCCACCTCCATGTGGGCCCGCCACCTGCCAAGGTCGGGTGACGTGGGAGCTGGACTGCAAGCCAAGGAGGGTCTCTGGGGGGGCCGATTCTTGGCAACACTATAAATGTCAAATCTCATTGTAAAGTTCAGGAAGCTCTTTTTCTTTAACATTCTAACCTTTACTGATATACAAAACAATACGTAACAATATCTTGTTATCCAGTGACTTTAAGTCAGGTCCTCTGGACAATTTCTTTGTGTTGAAATGTTTTCGTCTTTCATCCAATGGACTTCATCAGTCCAAGGAGCCACCACAAACTCAGTCCCACAAGCAGCACACCCACATAGTGGGCCAACCAGTTTTGATGGTGATAATAACAAAAAGGAACCGTCCAGAGGACCTGACCTAACGTTGTTGGATTTTCTACCTGGATTATTGAGCATGAACTTTGAATATGTTGATATTGTTTCTCTAGCGACCAAACGAGGGAAGATGATGAGATCGTCTTCACCACAGCTTGGATGAACAACACATAAGCTGTTTCCATCCTTACTGTCATCGGCCTCACTTTGATTACAATTACAGCTTTAACGACATCAGTAACAGGTGATGTAGAAAAATAAAAACAATCAGGACAGAGCAGCTCTAGTACGACTTCCAACCGTTATCACAGTTTGATCAGGGACATCTCAGTATTTGTATCTGGCAGCCCTTTGAGGTTTTCCACAGTCTTCACAGATCCTCGGAACGATTTAAATGTTTGTAGAGTTTGAAACAAGCTATCCAAACCTGTATTTGGGCCAGTATTTGACCTGTATGCGTCTCGGGACAGTTGTTGGTGGGACTTTAGGCGAAGTTGGTGGAGTTTTCCTTCTCTCTTTGCTCCTTTCTGTGATTTTGAAGCCACTTTAATTTTTCTTATGAAAGCTGGCCCTGGGTAAGAAGTGGGTAGAGACGTGTTGGGATTTGACCTGTGGGCTGGAGCCCATTTTAGCTTTCCCCCTCTTGTTGAGGGCCACAAACCACTCACGACCAGTCCTTTGGTTCCTGTGGGTCACAGAGGCGTATGTGTTGTCACTATGGCTTTAACAGACTACTCAAGTAATAGGTGAAGCACCCAGATCTGCCCCACCACCATTCGCCCCACCCTGGGCCCATGAGCAAGGCCCTTAACCCCCATCTGCTCCCCAAACAGGTCTCTCTTGAAAATGAGTTCTCGTGGCTCTGAGACTACCTGTATAAAAAAGGGGTAAATGAAAAAAAACAATAAAGAACCTTGAACTTTGACTCATGAATACATTTTTCTTTCCATTGTTGTTTTTTCGCTGTACTAGTTTGAAATTTAAAGAAAAAATATTTTCTCGTGCATTAGTTTATTATTATTTTATTAGATGTTTGACACGTTTCTAACCTTTTTACCCAGCTTGTTGGTCGCAGGGCTGCAGTGTGTCAATCTGACCGATAGGGGGCGCTGTAGGCAAACTCGCCTCGTGCGTGGAGCGCAGAAGGAGCGCAGCTTCAATTTGATTGGAGGACAGATTCAATCAACAGAGGAAGATGGCTGAAGTAGTAGAGCTGCAGAAACTGAAGGTTTGTGGCGCTGTTAAATACATATTTTTGATTTATGAGGCGGATTTATTTGTAATGAACAGACTGTAGTCACTGTTAGTCACACAGTGGGCTGACAGGAGAGGTTGGAAAAAATAAAACTATCCGCCGGTAGCGAAAGCTGGGAATGGACGTGTGACCGGAAGCTAACGCAAACACATGTAACTAAATAAAATGTTTCGACAAAACCTGTAACTTTAGCTAGGCTGGCACCTATAAAAATAAGAATATTTGGCTACTTAAACACTCGAGTCTGGGAGACAAAAGCCTCCAACATATCCTGTGTTAAAGAGCGGGTTTGTTTTAAAAGTAGCCAAGCATTAGCCTGAAGAGCTCTTTTGGAAGGCTTGGGTTGATAACTTTTTACAAACTGTCTAAACTAAAATATAAGAAATCTGCCAAATCTGTACAGAGTGAACTTTTCTTTTCAGTAAAGAAATATACACAATTTGTGTTAAGTCCGAACTGCTAATGGTTTGCAGATCAGTCGGACTGTTTTCACGTCTCTCCAAAACAAATTATAATTTAACATTTTGACTTTTCCATAGTAACTTAATTGTTTTTGTTTCTTTTTCAGCTTGCTGAACTGAGGCAGGAATGTGATGCCCGAGGTTTAGAAACTAAAGGCAACAAAGGAGAGCTGATTGCTCGACTCCAAGCCTACCTGGAAGAGCACGGTGAAGGTAAACACCTGCTCATACCTGGTTCAACCTGCTAAAGGAAGCCAAGTGAACACATGTATAGATGCATGTCCAGCTACTACCTCTGTGCTTCAGGGGTCTGAAGAACTCTGCAAGAAGTAATAAAATTAAGGAACAACATAAGCAACCTTATAACCTTGCTTGGTGACAACTTCAACCTCCTGTGCTGCCTGGGTCCATTCAGAAATAAACTTTGAAAACCAAAATGTGTCTAAGGATACATTTACGCTGCAGGTTTTTCTCAGAGATACATTTTCTTGTGTGGTCGTTCACGTTATAATTGAAATGCGCCTGCCATCAGACCCCAGTGTGAACACTATGGCCCTGAGGCGACCCACTTGCTCAGGAGGAGTTGTGTTACAAGCTGTGTTTACAAAACTGAATGTGGATGCTACATGTTAGCATGTGTGTAGCGATTATGAAGTAGTTGTGCAATTAAAGCAAGGTTGTTTCCTCCGATGTTTACTGGTACATTTAATCCTGTTGCTTCCTGCCTGAGGGGCAGAATTGTGACGCGTCACCCTGGAGAGACGTAAAAGCCAGATGAAATGCAACATGACTGGGACTCGAGGTTTCTTTAGAAAACTTCAGCTAGGCATCTGATTCAGGACACATAAAAATGACCTGAATATCTGATTAAAAATATTATAATAATAATAATCTGATTAGGGTGTTGAGATGCATCAAATAAGGGTAATAAAATAGTCAGAGTTGGACCACTAGATTTAAATATTTAAACATATCCTATATTCCTTCTATTTCCTGCGGATTGATTTAACAGAACTCCTGGGGAGGGTTGTGATCTTGGAAATCTTTTTGCATCCATTCCTTATTTTGTACTTTTCAGTAATCTCTTCTCTGAGTTGAATCAAGACAGTCTTTTTAGGAGGTGAATATTTATGCAATCACTTGTGTCACATTGCTTCTACACTTGTTACCATGTGCCAGTTTAATTCAATTCAGTTTATTTATATAGCACAAAGTCAAAACAGAAGTCATCTCAGGACACTGAACAGAAACATTCATATATAAAAATAATAATTGAACATTATTTATCTGAGGAGCAGCTTTGAGTTTAACTCCATCACAGAACTCTCATCTTGAACAAGCATGAAGGCGACAGTGGAAAGAAAAAACTCCCTCGTGAGGAAGAAACCTTTAGCAGAACCAGGATCAGGACAAGAGGACCATCTGCTTCGACCAGCTGGGTTTGAGAGGAACAGATACACAATGGCAGGTCAAGAATCACATGTTCAGATAGAAATAATATCAAATGGAAACTATTCAGTTTTAACAATTAATGTAAGGAAATGAGGTCAGTTTGTCCTCCAGTAGTCTAAACTTAACCCGACCCTAACTATAGGATTTCTCAAAAAGGAAAGTCTTAAGTCTAGTTTTAAAACTGGATAATGTGTCAGCCTCACGGACAGAGATTGGAGTTGGTTCCACAAGAGAGGAGCCTGATAACTGAAAGATCTGCCTCCCATTCTGTTTTTGTTAATTCTAGGAACCACAAGTAAACCTGCAGTCTGAGAGCGAAGCACTCTGTTAGTAAAATATGGAACAATAAGATCTGTAATATAAGATGGAGCTAGGTTGTTGAGAGCTTTGTAGGTTAGAAGTAAGATTTTGAATTCATCCATCCATTATCTTTACTGCTTCTTCCATTTTGGATCATGGGGTCACTGGTGCCCATGTCCAGTCATCAATGTGCAAGAGGTGGGGGACACACCCTGGACAAGTCTCCAGTCCATCACAGGGACACCTAGAGACAAACAACCATTCACTCTCTCTCATCTAGGGACATTTAGTCACCAATCAATCTAACATGCATGTTTTTGGTCTGTGGGAGGAAACTGGAGTACCTGGAGAAAACCCACACTGCACGGAGAGAACATGCAAACTCCAGCCAGAAAGGCCCCCGGACTGGGATTTGACACGTATAACCTGCTCGCTGAGAGGCAGCATCTCTACCAACTGAGTCACCGTGCTGCCAAGATTTTGAATTCTATTCTGGACTTGACAGGGAGCCAATGGAGAGAAGCTAAAACTGGAGAGAGATGATCTCTCCCAGTAACTCCAGTTAAGACTCTAGCAGCAGCATGTTGGATCAACTGAAGACGTTTTAAAGAAGTATTTGGACATCCAGATAATAAACCATTGCAATAGTCCAGTCTGGACGTGACAAATGCATGGACCAGTTTTTCTGCATCATTTTTAGATAAGATGTTTCTAATGTTAGTGATATTACGCAGGTGGAAGAAGGAGGTTCTAGTAACATTTTTAATGTGGAGGATAAAAGACATGTCCTGATCAAAAATAACACCAAGATTTTTAACATTAGAGCTGGAGGACAGATTAATTCATCTAAGGAGGGAGAAAGACTGAAAAATTCATTCCTACGGTGCTCAGGTCCAAAAACCAAAACCTCAGTCTTGTCTGTTCAACAGGAGAAAATTAAGAGTCATCCAGGTTTTTATGTCTTTAAGACATGCTTGTAGTCTAAGTAGCTGATATGATTCATTGGGTTTAATGGACAAATATAATTGTGTGTCATCAGCATAACAATGAAAATTTATCCCATGCTGTTTAATAACTTTACCTAATGGAAGCATATATAAAGTAAAGAGTATTGGCCCAAGCACTGAGCCCTGAGGAACTCCCTGACTAACTTTGGTGTATGAAGAAGATTTATTATTTACATTTACAAACTGGAATCTGTCAGATAGATATGATTTAAACCATTTTAGAGCCGTTCCTGTAATCCCAACATCATATTCAAGCCTCTGTAGTAAAATATTGTGATCAACTGTATCAAATGCAGCACTGAGGTCTAACAGGACCAGTAGAGACACAAGTCCATTGTCTGAGGCCATGAGAATATCATTAGTGACTTTTACCAGTGCAGATTCAGTGCTGTGGAACCATCTACGGTACTCAGGTTGATAGTTGTTACATCTTGTCCAAATGTTATGATGTGTTTGTGATGTGTGTTGCATGTTGTTTGTTTTTGTTCTGATAAACTTGTTGATGTGAGTTTGTATATTTTGCCTTCTGAAATCGTTTGTCTCCACACCACTTGGCAGAGGAAGACGTGGACGTAGATGACGTGCTGGCAGAGGATGCAGTGGTGAGATGAATGATTGTATTCTCATTATCTGAGTTTTTCTTTCCATCTCAAACATTGTAACGTTTTAGCGTGATATTTCAAGTGGTTTTTTTTGTGTTTGTTCCTTTTAGGATTTCACAAAAGTTGAGAGTTCTGACACTGTAAAAGTGGACAATGACTCTGAAACAGCTGTCAGTGAGCCGTAAGTGATTTTTTTCTTAATGGACACCTGCAATTTTCATGATCATGTATTTGTTGCGACACCAGTAGAAATAAGAGTTGTGTTGCTTGTGAGGAATCTCCAGCAGCAGTCACACATTTTACAAAGTAAAACCAAAGTAACTGAAAAAGCTTCGCTAAGAGTCGCAGCTTAGTCACAACTAAAACTGTTCAGTGATGTAGTGTGCTAAAAGGCTAGGTTAGCTTCGAGCTCCACTACAGTCATATTTTAAATTAACGGGTTCTCACTTTTTCGAGCTACTTGACAGATATGTGACAGAGGTACTGTGTTGTAGATGGTTTAATCAGTGACATGAGACGTTAATTTTCTTTGACCCATCAAAATAAATGTGGTCATTTATTAACAGAATCAAAATTTAACATCAAAACATTGTACACTTGATTTTACTGATCGGCTCTGATTAATAAAACTTGGCACGTTTTACTTAAATAAAACAACAGACATTTCTGAAGATATCTGGATTAATTACTGGCAAGATAGAAGTTTAAAGATGAGAAATGGAGGAGTTTAAAGGGAGATGTTGAAGGAAGATTTAGGTCTGTAGACCAGAACAACACGCTCCTTCCAAACGCAGCTCGCCGGGTACACTTGTAGTGAAGCTCGTGACGACTCTTTACCTTGGCAGAGGATGGGTCAGCTGCGGTCAAGAGGTCCCTGGCACGCTACCTTTCAGCGTCTCCTCAGGGCGGCTGCGACTCGGCAGAAGTCGTGAGATAATCCTTTCCACAGAACAAACTTCCTCAGCAGTTATAGAGCATTCGCCGGATGGAGCCACAGCGAGGCGTCGTGCCCCCAGCAGAGATGGATGACTCCATCAGCCTGGAAAACTGAGTCTGAAGTTCCACTCAGCAGTGGAAAACTCCAGAACTACTCCACAGTACTCCAAGAGACTCAGAAGAATTTCAGAAGAACTCCAAGGAACTCCAGCCGAACTCCATCAGAACCAGAAGAACTAACGGAACTCACCGAACTAAAAGAACTAGGAAGTGTCGACTTTTAAAGAGTTCTGCTTCTGGTCACTTTTAGGAAGTCCTGATTGGTTGAAGGAACCAACAGGGGTGTGGTTTTAGTGACGTCAGAGGGTCATTACCAGTCAAGAAAACAGCCGGAATGTTTTGAGAACGGTTAGTTACAGACAAGAAAATATTTTGGAGAAATGACAGACTTACAGGTGCCAGTTTTCTTATTTTCTGTCTGAGAGGTTTAAAAACACGACAGTTCATTCCAACAACTTGCTTCTTGACTGTCTCCGACTTTTGACCGACATCACTCTTCTCATTTCAGACAGAAGATCAAAATGCATAATTACTTTGTAACATAGACATTTAACTTGATTTCTACTTTGAATGAGAATAAAAAAATCATTAATACTGTTTCACAGTTGATTTAAAATGAGTGGTTCACTTCAACATTTAGAAATGGTATGAACTAAACACACTTTTGATTATCAAGATATTGTAAAATAGTAATGATAATATAAAAAGAACGTGTTCTTTCAATTGATTAGTTCGAAATACAATTAGAAAGTCTCTGGATGAGCTAATTTGTATTTCTGGATTCAAATCAATGAAATAACAGTTCCTGTCCCATGAAGGTCTTCAGAGACAGGTTTGGTCGGAGGCCGAGTTCACTACAGTGATTTAAATTTAAGTAGAAACGTTAACATTTTAGGAAATACACGTTCATTCATTCTTTCCTGTGTGACTAAAAGAATGATGCTTAGCTCAGCACGTGGCATTGCTGAGAGTAGAGACATCTGGTTACAGCAGAGAGGAACAGATTGTTAAGCAGGCGACCAAAATCCAACAATTTAATCTTTGACTGTTAACAATTAAATCAACTAAAATAAAGTTATAATAAGTGCTTTTAAAAGCAAAATATATGTGTCCATAACCTGATACATCACAACCCATTAACTGTCAACAACGCTAGGTGAATCTAAAAAGTTAAGTCTGGTCCTCTGGACATTCAAAAAGCAAAACAACAAGAAAATTAAAGCTGCAAGCAGCATTGAAGGCCCTCGCAGCAAAGCGTCGCTCCAGCCTTACGGCGACCGCGGGAGGTCCGCCGACTCCGCCCGCCGACTCCGCCCAGTTGCCACCGCAAACTCTCTCGCTCCCGTCCCGCGCCCGTTCACTGAGGTGAGAATTCGCTGAACCTTCGACATCACTCGCCGACCGCGGGCGCTCCAGCAACGCCTCCCAGTTGCCGTCACGAACGCTCTCATGCCATTCTCTCACGCGTCCACCAGGGCGCGCATATGCCTAAACTTTGTAATCGCCTTTCGCCAATATATGTATGAGAGGGGGCACTTGAGTCATATGTTAAACTACAAGAGGAGATCGGGCTTTTTCAGTCATGGGCCCCAAACTCTGGAACAACCTGCCCCCCAACATCAGGCAGGCCACCTCCCTTCAACCTGCCCCCCAACATCAGGCAGGACACCTCCCTTCAACCTGTCCCCCAACATCAGGCAGGACACCTCCCTTCAACCTGCCCCCCAACATCAGGCAGGACATCTCCCCTCACTTCAAATCTCTGATAAAAACTCATCTGTTCTCTCAGGCGTTTCACTCAGTGTAAATTGATCTAGTGTTTTTTAATCTGTGACCCTATGTTTTAAATGCTTTTTATTAATTCTTCAGTTATTATTATTATTAGTGTATTGTATATACATATTTTTTTCTCTTTAATTTACTCATTGATTATTGTTGTTGTTAAGCACTTTGATAACAGGTTCTGTTTTAAATGTGCTCTATAAATAAAGTTGACTTGACTACAATATCAATGTGTCTAGACGTGCTCACCGATTATGCACAAAAAATTTGGTTCTGATCGGATGATGTATCACTGAGCTACAACTGTAGGAATAATGTAGGTGGCGCTGTGGAGGCTGTTGGCCACTTATCATGGATACCTGTTCAAGGGGCGGATAATGATCGATCATAGTGATTTTGGTGCATCTCGGCTGAAATCTGTGCAATTTAGAGCCAAACATATTGCAACAGCATCACTTCTTGATTCGCCACGCCCACATCCTCAAGCTGAAACTGTTTGCGCTTTAAATCAAGTCAGACCATCTTATCTGTCTTCTAACACAGGATCATCCTGATTAGGTCAATGGTGTCAAAGAGGGAGCATTCCAAGTTAAAAGAGACTTCCTGTTCTGAGGGGGAGGGGCTTTGATCACGTCAAAATATGACCACAGTGGATCGTCGGGCATCAACAGGGATGAGTCATGCCAAGTTTGGTGCATTTCGGTCTTTCAATGTGAAAGTTATGGTGTTTGTAAATTTATGACGTGAAGCTCAACTTTGAGGCCTGGCCACGCCCCTTTAACATAAATGAAAAAACAAGCTTTTGATAACTTTTACTCCCTAATGTGTTAAGGGCATATTAATCAAGTTTGAAGGCAATCAATCAAAATCCCTAGGATGAGTTCGTTAAAATTCGCCATTAGAAACGCCCAAAAATGACCCTTTGACCCAAAATGGCCGACTTCCTGTTGGTTTCGGGCCAGGGCTCCAAGAGACTTTTTCATAGGTCCTGAGAAGATACAGATGTTCACCGAGTTTCAGAATTATCGGTCCAAAAATGGCTTGGGGCTCAGGTTTTAAAATATTCTAGGGGCGCTGTGGAGGCTATTGGCCACTAATCATGGCTTCCTGTTCAAGGGGTGGATAATGATCGATCATACTGATTTTGGTGCACCTCGGTTCAAAACTGTGGAATTTAGAGCCAAATGTATGGCGACGGCGTTACGTCTTACTTCGCCATGCTGCTCCGCCCACATGTTCCACCCAAAACTGTCAGTGTTGGGAAGCAAGTTACACCAACATGTCTTCGGTCACTGCACACACTGTCATGCTGATCAGGTAACAGGGGTCAGATAGGGACCGTTCAAGGTAAAACTTTATACTTCCTGTTGTCAGGGGGCGTGGCTTAAGTCATGTCATGATTTGACCATTCAGTCTTGCAGGGGTCCAGATGTGGATCAATCAGCGAAGGTTTGATGTCTCAGACAGTTTTCTTGTAGGAGCTATTAGCGTTTTGTTTTTCATGGTGAGATGTCAAACTTTGAGGTCTGGCCCCGCCCCTTCATCATGCTCTGGTGTGCACCGTTTTGATAACTTTTTTGTTCCCCATGCTTTTTGACCAAAATGGCCAAGTTTGAAACCGATTGAGCGAAATCCCTAAGAGGAGTTTGTTCAAATGCAGAGCCCAAAAGGTGTGAAAATTGGGCCGGCATTCCAAAATGGCCGCCTTCCTGTTTATCGTACAACGTTGGTGCCCGAGGGTTTTCTGTGCCACTTGTGGAATTGGACAAGTGTACCAAATTTCATGTTTGTCCAACAAACTAAGGTTAATGCGGACGGTATTTTGAAAATTTGTAGGTGGCGCTCTTGATCCGTTTCTGTTGCAATTTTTGCTACACCTTTAAAATACGTAATTTTTCACCAGTCCTGATGCGTCCGCCAAATTTGGTGAGTTTTGGGAGCTGGTAAGGCCAAAAACACCAGTTCATTTGATGGAAAAGATGCAGCTCGGGCCTGAACAGAGCGAGTACAATAGGCCTTCGCAGCGCTTTGCTGCTCGGGCCTAAAAAAGAAACGTTTCGTCTCTCATCCTGAGGACTTCCTCAGTCTGAAGAAGTCTTTCTGATGAGAGATGAAACGTTTCTACATTTGTTTTGTTCTTGTTTTGCTTTTTGAATGTCCAGAGGACCAGACTTAACTTTTTTTTAGATTTTTCCACCTGGATTATTGAGCAGGCACTAGAAACGCTTGGTGAAATTCACAGACTCCATTTTGCTGTGTGGACCTATCACTGTGTACAGATGACAGGTGTACCACACGTTAACATGTGTTGTGTCATCGGTTCAAAACACAGAGAAATATGGTCTGGAGACAGAGACGTGGACAAAAAGACAGGAGACAGAGACATGGACAAAAAGACAGGAGACAGAGACATGGACAAAAAGACAGGAGACAGAGACATGGACAAAAAGACAGGAGACAGAGACTTGGACAAAAAGACAGGAGACAGAGACATGGACAAAAAGACAGGAGACAGAACTAGAAGTGACAGAAATGAAGATGTTCAGGTTCTCCTTAAGAGAGACAAGGATGGAGAAGATGAGGAATGAGATCATCAGAGGAACAGCACAGGTTGAACAACTGGGAGATAAAGTTAGAGAGGACACACTGAGATGGTTTGGACATGTCCAGAGGAGGGACAGTGGTTTGGACATGTCCAGAGGAGGGACAGTGGTTTGGACATGTCCAGAGGAGGGACAGTGGTTTGGACATGTCCAGAGGAGGGACAGTGGGTATACTGGTAGAAGGTTGTTAGAAATGCAGCTGCAGGAAAAAGACAGAGCAGGTTTATGGATGCAGTTAGAGGACATGGAGGTAGATGGAGAGAGGACAGAGGATGCAGAGGACAGAGATGGAGGAGGATGACTCACTTTGGAGACCCCTGAAGAGGGACATGCTGTAAGAAGAATTCTTCTTTTACTTAATCTTGTGTCGTGCCTTTAGTGAAAACAGGAGGCGGGTGTTCTGTGATGAGCCTCCACCAAGCGCAGTCGGACAGTGACAGTAAAAGGTTGACAGCTGCTGTGAAGACGTTGACAGGAGGCGTCATCTTTCTATCCACACCAGTACATGCTGTTCTTTAACTTCAGTCCTTTGCATGTCTAGTCTACGCTCTAGTTAAAAATGCATTTGTTTCTGTCTTTTTCTGCTTTCAGACCTGCTGAGAAGAAGCTGGTGAAAGTAACTCCCCCGTTATCGGCTGGAGAAGTACGTGCAACATGTTTTCACCCAACAATCAGAGATTTGTTCACGTTACTGAACCGAAGGGACCTGAAATTAAAGCAGAAATACTTATTTGATCACCTAAAATATATTTCTAATGAAGTGAAGAAAAGCTTTGAAGCTGAGGCTTCACTAAAGACATCTGTTTTATTCATCCCTGTACGAATGTGATGAAGCACGGGTTATTCTTTGTAGAGATCTAGTATAGAGCTGTACGAATGTGATAAAGCTGGTTATTCTTTGTAGAGATCTAGTATAGAGCTGTACGAATGTGATAAAGCTGGTTATTCTTTGTAGAGATCTAGTATAGAGCTGTATGAATGTGATAA